CGTTCATAATACATCCAATATAGTACCTTACTGGTAGGCTGTAAACATCACCACTCCTAGTTTTAAGTATTTATTATACATTGCCCCGCGTCCTGGACTAATAAAAATTCGAATGTAATGTAATAACGAGCATAACTACAGGCATTGAGTATACACTATATATACAATACATACTCAATGTTATAAGTATGTCTAAACTATTTTAGCTAACAATTTTAATTGTTAATATATATTTTATATTTTTTAATAATTACTATTTTTTACTATTTTTACAGGAATTAATTAATATTTTCAGTATTGTTATTTTGAGTTCAATAATTTTCTTTTTAAATCCCGAAAATGTAATATATATATATATGTATATATTTACAATATTACTGGTAAACATAGAGATAATTTTTGGCGGTAAAAGGAACCACCTACCTAATATTTGCTCTTATCAGATCGTGAATAATTAAATACCCAAGCAGACGTACAAAAGACCCTTCTGTATTGTTCTACGTTTGCACAATGATTCTCGTGTCCTTTCATAAATCATATTCCATTTTGTGTTTACAAAATTTAATACCAACGACGGTTGTATAATATAATAGCAATAAATTATAAATATAAAACAAAATTAGCCTGAACAAGTTTTTCGGTGTAATAATTAGGACGTAAAACGCAAACTACAAATTCATAACCGTTATCTTCAATCGATTACATGATTTACGTTCCATGTCGACATGCGAAACGCTTGAAAGTTTCAACTTGATATCGCGGTGAGTATATTATTATTATACTTTATTGTTTTCAGTATACTGTTGAAAAGTTAAAAGCCCAGATTAGAAAACAAATTACCGATATCGCCTTGACTTCATTAATTGGTCGAGACCCAACAGTACTCGAGTGTGAGCGTTGGGTGTGTTCCAAAAGCAAAACTATAACACGACTTATATTTTATGACTTATAACAGATTACGGCATGGCGTAACTTATTAATTTTTGTCAAAGACTTGTGGTGAAATATAACCGATATACCTTATTTTCAAAAATAAATGTATTTTTATAGATTTGTTAAAAAAAAAACAATTTAAATATAAAATATCTGTACCGTATTTGGGTCTACATCAATTAACTACAATGCTATTTCTATCAAATTTTTTCCTGTAAATTCCATTGTAGAACACCGATGTTTCATAGTAGAAAATATACCTAAATTAAAAATAAAATTAATTAATTTATTTAAAAGAGGTTTGTTATTACTTATTCGGCTTTGTGTAATATAATTTTGTTTAATACAGAAAACGGCTCATATGATTTACATATTGACGAAGTGGACAATAAAAGACCAACGAGAATAATTAAAAACATTTTCTATTTTACAATATTGATTTTAAATTATCCGCCTAGCAATTTTGTATTACTGTGTAGCGACTGCGTATAATCCATTTCCCATCTCTTTTTGTGTAGTGCTATGTAAAAATAGTGTGTTTATACTGTTTGACAGTCGAATCGATCCTTTTTTTTTTTATTTAGAATCGTTTCAGTGTACATTGAAAAATACAATCCACCATACCGGTGTACTATGAATTAGATTTAAACGTATAAAATAATGTATTATTTTTCAAATTTGGTATGGTATTTGAAATCGTATAAGATTCAAAAATGTACATATTACACAATATACATTTTTATGGTTGTCGTTGTTGCATGTCTTCGTTGTTAAATATATTCCCTACCGATTCTCTTTTACAATTTGACAACGATCATCCGCAGATGTACTCATATTATTAAATATATAATATCATGAATTGAACATATTATTTCACGCTGTCTGATTTTGATTTGATTTCATCTGGTTCGAATTTTGTATTGAGTAAATAAATCTTCAAATGGAAAATATATAAGCAAAAAAAAAGTTGTTTATAAGTGACTCGTCACTTTCGTGACAGGACAAATATTAAATTTTTATCATTGATAAAACGGGAAAAGGACAATGGTGTAACCTATTTAAGAAAAAAAAAGTTATTACTTTATTTTATATATTATTCATTGAATTTGAATTAATTTAATATATTATGTAACATTTTATGACATAATATAATCCCATTATACATGTATATGTGTGTGTAATGTAAGAAATTTATTTTCTCGGATAATATAGTTTTTTTTTTATACTTATGTTATTGTAGAATATAATATGAAATTTTGAAATATTTACTTTATTTTGTATTTTTCAAAGCTATATCAACTTTTAAAACTTAAATAGTGACGTATATATTTCATTAACTTTTTTAATTAAAAATAGTTTTCTGGAAATTTTAACTGGTCGATAATCAGTTTTGAATAATTCATTTAAAAGTTATTAGCGCTTATAATAGAATTTAATTTTAGATGAGAGGTAGATGCCGGTTGAGCAATGCACGCAAATAATAATAACTCTTCATTCCATCCTTCCTCTTGTCCTAAACTTTAATAACTTTAAAATGAATTATTCATAACTAGTTGAAATGGTCTAGTCAAAATTTTCAGCAAATTATTTCATCTTATTTCATAAAGTTAATTGTGTATATACGTTCTTACTTAAGTTTCAAACGTTTATAGCGTTCTGGAAAATACTAAAAAAGGCAAATTTTAGGTAGTTGTATAATGCTGTACGGTATCATCAATAAAATTTATAAATTATTTTAAAAAGAAAAACTAAGTAATTGTAACTAGTATCCGAGAAACTGAGTTCCTTACGTTAAATAAGTTCGTTATGCCATCCTTAATCAAATTACTTCTAATAATATATTATAAAATATTGTATTATATGATTTTAAGTAATATATTTTACATATTTATAACAATAGATCGGCTGTTAGTATTTTTGTTTAATAAAATATTTAAAAATACTTATAGATCTTATCTTACTTGTAACGAACATAAATATAAATTAATGTGGTTGTGGTGGATACTTGATCCAAATTATAAAATATTTATGTGATGTCAAGATTCCCATAGCATTCACAGTTGCATTAAATACGCGGTTGTATAATTATAAATTATAAAGCATTTTAATGATTTATACCATCCAAATGAGGCTATTGAGTGGCTTTTTTTGTCATTTTTATATGTATCACCGGTTACTTGTTTACTATTATCGTATTATTTTCACCACATCAAACCATCCTTTGTAGAACTGTACCAAATAGTATGTTATATTACAGAGAGTATAATAATATATGTAAACATTTTGGAAGTTAGCCCAACTATTATCTCCGATTGTAGATACTTGTAGATACTACAGTATATATATATACTGTAGGTAACTGTTGCTTAGCAAAATCTACATATCGTAGAATACTGGCAACGCTAGTGTAACGTCAAAGCGTATGTTCATTAAATAAAAAAAACATAATGGCTATTTATGCAAGGCTGCACGACCGATTTAAAATTAAATTGTATATTAACATTAACTAGTCGGGGTCGGTCAATATTGTGAAGTTTTAAAGCCACTATATGTTCTATAAATTTAACGTTTTTCAAATTTTAATGAATTTTCATGTCATTTGTCTTAAGTGTTAAAAGAGAAATTTTTTATTTTTAAGGAGGTATATTGTTAAAATTTAATTAAAAACGCTCTTTAAAAAAAAAATAATTTCTTGGATGTTATACTTATAAAATACTATCCAAAAATGATACATTTATAAGTAATATTGTATACTAATAAGTAATAATGTATAAATTGTAATTTGTATAGGTTACAATTTATTGTAGTAAAAATAAACAAATCATTTTTAAAATAGTAACTGGTTATTCCTACATGTGCAATTATTGAAGTTTTTACTATTTGTTGTTTTTAAATTCATTAAGTATTTACAGGCTTAGTAAATCAGTGTACTAATTAAAATCATATTATTTTTACACATAATACCTACATAAATATATTTCTACATTACTGACATTTGGCTTAAGTCTTATATCTTAAGTTTTAATCTTCACGTTTGTCTAGATAGTAACACGATGATTTTATAGACTTACGTTTATTGTACTGGAATCTGTCAGACAATGTTGGTACACTCTGTTTACTTTATAATATTATTATTTTTAAATTATATTTGCCGGTTTGAGGTATGAAATACATTTGCAACAAAATATAATTAAAGTAAACTGTAAACGATTATTACATTTTATTGTATTAATGTATATACTAAATTATGTAGTTATAAAGATTACTAGTCACCGTAAGTACATTGTTTTACTTCTTATGAAGAATTTTTTTTTTTTAAATCCCTTTACCAAATTATTGAGAAACCTATAAAGACCAACCGGACGAGAGTGAAGGGTTAGCGGTAAAGGTTGTGTTGTATAGACGAAAGGTCGTTGTTTTTTCGCCCAATAACGTTTTTAGATGCAAAAAGGTCAACGACGTATGCATTAAAACAAACGCCGCCCAACAGAAAAGCTGTTTTATCAGTTTTGTATGGAATTCAAATGGAACGGGAAGTGGATTGTGGGAAATCATTTACCGAAACGCTCATCCGTGACGATTGTAAGTTTGTTTCGTTTAAAGAAAACCTAAACGAAATACGGTCGCGCATAAAACGGACAGCAGGATTCCAACATAATCCCCGGAGTATTAGGAAATACAATAATATATATATATATATATATATATATATATGTATAAAAAATTGAATTCTATACTCTCGACCGTTGTGAGCTTAACCGGATTACTAGTATACAGTATTGTTCGCCATCGTTATGATTACCATCCACTCCATAAAATAGTTGGTCCGAATAATTTTGTTGTTAACAATGTAAAGTTTTTTCCTGCGGGACCCACGATGTCGGCAATGAGACTAAATCGATATAATCTGAATTGAAATTTACATTGGAGCACCAGTTTCCTCTTGTCCCGACATTCGAATACATATTATTCGTATTTAAACGTTATTGCTGATAAGATCTGTTATTTCACGCAAACGTTAAGACATTGTCATTAAACTATTAATTTAATTATTAAAAACCAACGCATTATTGATTATTGAAACGGCTTTATTATTTGACATTTTGGACAAATAATTGAATAATCGGTTTTTGTATATACAACATCAATTGCACACGACCGATCATTTGGTTTTACTATAAATATTGTGTTATACATAATTGTTTGACAAATATTATAATAACTAACAAAGTATACGATTAGTCGATAATTGTTTTTTTTAAACAGTATTATTTCTATTTTGTATTCATTAAAACATTGGCGTAACTAGAGAGGGGGCTAAGGAAGTTCAAAACTTTTAAAAACTCCGAAAGCTCCGTCAAAATTTCAGTAAAAATTATAAACCTTACTCGGTGGCTGTGTCCGATTGACTGCTGACATTTTTTTTAGAGCTTGGACGAGTTTAAACGAGATTTAAAAAGTCCCTAGCCCGTCCCCCCTCATCTAGTTACGCCAATGCGTTAAAATGTGCGTTAAATTTCATTCAAATTTGTTTATGTATACACACACATAAACTTCGATTTCTTATTGATATAAACATTATTAAAAAGAAAAAAACATAAACGAAAACAATTCGAATAACATCATAACAATAATATATCATCATGTTTTTGGTATACCGAAACACGGTTTTGTTCGTATATTGTTGTTATTGTACTATTGCCGTTCGTACGGCATAAACATGCAACGATGATCCGAATCACAGATGATGTTTATGGCGCACGTTGCATGGAAGTACGTCCCGGAGGCAGTGATGGCGTAGGCGGCTCGGCCCGGCGTTTATACGTGACGGCGACGGTATATTACGCACTCAGCAGCTCGTTTCCGAGTATTGTCATAATCCACTTGGCTCGCCCAACGTCCTTGTCGCTTCCAATATTGCTTCGTCCAGCCGTTCTACCCGAGTGCTTATGGAATGATCGCTGCAAAAACAACAGAAAAATTGCACGTCATGAGTCTCGCACCTTAACACATATGTATTTATTATCAAGACGAATGTATCGGTTTACACATGTTACAACAACAATCGAAAACGTTACCAAGCCAGAATTAACGCTGTCTGCCATATGATGAACGCGACCAATTTACACCTAAAATTATTATCGGGATGTTATGAAAATGTTATTATGATGATGATGGTGATGATTGCGTTATTTGGATGTTATTATGATAGACAATGATTTAACTTTAAAATGTTCAAAATTGGTTAAACTATACGAATAAATCATCCTATTTTAACGAAAATGCGTTGTAGCCATAACGAATAATGTCAATTCGGGCTTAGTAACGTGTTCTATTTCTGTATATTAATAACAATAGTAATAATAAATTATATGTCTTAATTCATAGAAACACTCATGTAAATTGGTAAATTATTAAGTCGGGCCACAGGGCGGGTGGGACCAATGACTGTGGTACAATAAAATAATGTTAGGTATTTACATTACATTAGTATCAAAATATCAGATCAGTGGTAATGTACCTACCGCACATGAAGAATTTGTTTGTTAATAGAAAAATAACTAATAGTTATTTATTGAAAAGTATTTGCGAAAATGTTGTAAATAAAATACTTTTCTAATACTTATATTTTTGATAAATAAATATCGCTAAAATGACTATTAAAAGAAATAATGAATTCGAATTAACATGGCTATCTACTTATCCATTGATAATAATAACTCTTTAGAGAGCGAAACTAATTTGTAACAACCTCATCGAGAAATTAATATTTTCTCACCACCACATCGTAGCTAAAAATATTGTGAATTATGATATTATGCAGTAAATTTATATTAAACATAAAACATATTTTCTGAAACCGAATCGCACAAAAAGACCAAATTAGGCAAATCATTCGTTTCGACGCATACGTGCTATACATTTGCCTACTCGGAGAGCCGTCTGATAAAATCAAATGGAAATTATAAAACGGTCTTACATGGGGAATGGCCGTTATAGAATTGTCTGAGACAGTGTAAAGAATGTGACACTAATTTAAAGTCCTACAATTTATCGATAAAGAATTTATCGTTTAGTACTGTTGTATCTCGAAACCAGCATAATTATTTATATAAAAAGTATTATATTAGCATATACTATGTATAATAATATATTAGCAGTTTCTACTTTGCTAAATATAAACCTTTAAACACATGGTTACGCGTCAGATCAATTTTCTAAAATATATCATAAGCAAATCAAATCTCGCTCGTACGATTATGGTTATTGCAAAGACCCTTCTCCTTATGCCGTTGTTGCGTTGTTTTCAGTCCATACCGACGGTTGTTCGCTAACGATTTGTAATGCTAAATCGAATTTCGGTACGTGATGTGTTTGCCGCGATAAAATCGAAAACCTTCTTCCGTCGTTATTCGTATTTTAGCCGGCCCCGGTTTTTTCCAAAGTAGTTTTGGTCGGCCGCGTTTTATTGCAACAACCATAGAAAAGGCAAAAAAATAATATACACCCGGCTTGAAAGGCGCTGATGAAATTTAATATCTAATAATAATGTAAAAGAAGTAGGTACTCTAGTCGTATTAAAATCGGATCTATAGTGGAAATAATGACATTGGATTTGAGTAAAACACAATTATCGTTTTAATAGATTAAAAAGTGTTTTAACGACGACCGTGAATCCGGTGAATATAATATATAGTATAACGTAAGTGACGATCAGAAACTTGGCGTTATTGAAGGAAATCGATTTTTTGCGATAACACCTGATGGCGTTCTTATCGTTGGGACGCAGCAGGATTTCGAGTCCATTTAGCGGGGTTTCCGTCTCCTCTCTTGTCCTGTCCATTTACCGGCGAATTTATCTCGAAAGCAGTTATCGATGCATGTAGAGAGTTTACTTTATGCATTTTCGCAAAGGTAGTGTGCTCAGCGCAATTAGTGTGTTTGTACGAGGCATAGAAATGAAGATTGAATTAAATAATAAAATAATTCCGCTCATACCATAACACTTTATTTGATTTCCAGTCTATTTTTTGATAGTAAGTGCTACACACATGTTCGTCCACACATGTTTTTTTTCATAAATTTTACTAACAAAAAAACCAAATAAATGCATGTAATCATAAAAAATACGATTATTCCATATTTTTACGGTTAATGTTTGACCAGGTGGAAGCAGACGCAGTTTAATTTGACAGGTAAGGATGACAATTTACCGCCGATCAAATAAGTTCAAAATCCAGCGAGGGTATGGTTATTTAATTGTCTTGACAGTTGTCACCTTAGAGAAAGAAACTACCACAGTGGAAATCGCCGGTTAATACATTTTACTAAACTATATAATATAATGAGTCCCAATGAACAATTTAGTAAGGAGGCCATTGATTGAACAGTTCTCAAATTACAATAGAGATATTTAACTATTTAGACATACATATATAATGTACGAAGAAATATATTTAAAAAAATTAGAAAATGTAAAAGTGTATTAAGTTATAACAATAAATAATACCAGTAAACTTATAAAAGGAAAATGATAAACAATAATCAATAATAAAACAAACAACGGATTGTGATGTTGTAGGTATAATTCAAGAAAGTTACTTTAATTTTGGTAAATTTATTTTTTGTCTCGCATTTTTATATTAAACTACAATATTTTTACACGCAGGTGTACGTGTTATGTGTACAATATGAACTGTTGTGTTTATATTTTTGTTAGCACTAAAAATAATATTAACCATTATTATCTAATAATAATATGCGTCATGACCATAATAATAATACTGGTTTTATTTTCTACCACGCTTAATCCAAAAATCGAAACATGTAGTATCATTGATTTACCGTAACCGTGTGAAACATACAATGTTTATTTATCACATATTATCATGACCCTGGTATATTTATACTAATTTAATTAATAGAAAAAAACTTTTTATATCGCATAACATTAAAACGGTATTTCAACCTACAACAAACAAGTAACAAAACGTTATGATGCTACCTGCAGATGGTAGAAATATTAAATATCGCCGAATCATTGTAAGCAATGTGCTTTAAATTGTATGTTTATTATTATTATATTAGTAATAAATATTATTGTAGTAGTAGTAGTATTAAATGCACTTCATCATTACATGTTTTAATGGAGAATATTAAAATACAAACTGTGGCTTATCTCACATTACTTCTATATAATAACAAAATAAACTAAACAAAATTATTGAATAGCAACAAAGTCTTATCAAAGGCTAACCTAATTTTAACGGAACGTAATCTACGATTGCAGATACACCCCCTCCCGTTTTTTAAATATAATTTGTTATCCTCCGTTGCAGAATGCAAACAAAAACTGTTGGTTTTGGAAAATCAATTATGTACGATTATTTTGTATGGTTACTTTACACTTGAAATATACTATAACATTCTTAAGTATATATCTTAGATTCAGTTGCCATCGGTTGAAATGGTTTTTATTCCCAACTCAACGGCGACAATATTTATTACTCTTCACTTTTATTTATTTTATGTTATTGTGTTGTTATTTTTATTTGAACAAAAAAATACTCGTTTCAAAAAGTAAAAAGATAAAATAAAAAGTTGAAAAAAGCGATGACAAATTTAATGATAATACTTTCTCATAAAATATCATATGAATCGATACGCACGTTAACGCGGCAATTCGATACAAATTACATACATTAAAACGCTTTTTTTCTTAAAAATTGTCCATAAAAAACTACTTAAAACCCGTCGCTTTCAATCCCCTCAAAAAAAAAAAAAAAACCATCCTGTACACGAGGATTTTCAGCGGTTTCGGTCGGCGGCGTTTGCAATACTTAGCAGTTGGCTGCAAACGACGGCGAATAAGTGAAATAAGTAATACGAATTCAGAAATTAATAATGTTCGACGGCGCACCGTCGTCGTTATAGAGGCGCGCGGCTCGTCGAGTGTATACAGCGACCGACGCGACGCGCCTCTGCTATACATACATATAATAATTACTGTAATTTACATTAAAAATATTACGCCGGAGTGATAATTTCGTTAGGCCACGGGTCACGTGGTTCGTGACAAAGTGGTATAAACTATTTACCGAGAAAACATCAATAAAATAATATAATATACATTATACTGTATAGTCGCTAAACAAATGGTCACAATATGGGCGTGGTTTCGCAAGACGCCGCGCCGCCGTCGAGTTTGTTACGGCCGTGTCGGACTCGGCTTGTCATTGTGATAACATGCGACCGGCCGTCCGCCCCTATGTATAAGCTACCGGCTTACTCGTCGCCCAGTGCGGCCGATGGGCCCGAAAGACAGGATTGATTGAATCAAGGTGTCAACGGGATTAACATTTAAATGCGTCCGGGTTAATGGTTAACAAAATATAATACCGCAACGCGCGGCGCGGCGGTTATTTAATAATAATCCGTCAACGGTTTCGGGTGGTTTTTTTTTTTTTGTGGTCGATGCCGTTCATCCTTTTTCTTTGTCGTGCGTTTGACAGCTTTGTACGACCGGTTCTTTGACTTCAAATAACAACACCCACCGCAAAGGAAATAAAAATAAAAAAAATGAATACGGTTATTAATTATATTAAATTGACGGACGAAATATTTGGAACGCGCGTCGGTATGATTATTAATTGTTGTTGTAAGAAAATAGATGAATTGACACGAGTTGGAAAAAATAAAAATAAATAATTTGTACACACATATTATCATTACTGAATTTTCGTGTTAAAAAGAAGACGGTCCGAGACATATTTGCGAGGTATTTAGTAAACATTTCTTATCCAAGCAAACAATCAAGCGTGACTACGAAACCGTCAATTGAATAATTAAACCGCAATTTACATTAAAGTACTTCTTTGTAAATAGTATATTCTAGCAATTGAGAACAAGCGCAAAACGATATCCGTTAAGAATGGTAAACGATTTTTAAAACAACACACAT